CACAAACTAGCAGCAAATATATATATATAATGTATATATCTTAGATACATATCTATATAATTAATTATATATAATTAATATAATATACATATTAGATATATATATTTCATAATGTGTATGGGCTGTCTAATAATCTAGTATCTCTTACCCTCTTAAGTTCTGTAAACACTTTTAGTTAGTGCATTTAATTTAGTGCACAGTTTTCAGCTATACAATTTTCCTTTCCAATTTAAAAATGGAGGCATGCTCTTGACAAATATATATAAATACATGGTAAGAAAAGAACAACAAAATTGAAAACCTAAAAACTAAAAATTAAAAGCTAAATCACCTCAAATGTCTTTTTACTCTTAGGAAGAGAAATTCTTCTTTGAGGCCTATCTTCCTTGCTTGCAGTTGGCTGCCTTCTTGCTATGTTCTTCATATGGCCTTTTGCGTGTGCGTGCAGGTGAGTGTGTGTGTTTATGTGGTGGGGTGGGGGGGACTCGGGGAGTCTGTTCTCCCTTTTCCTCTTCTTATAAGAATACCAATGCTATCGGTTTAGGCCCCACCCTTCCGACTTCATTAACCCTAATTATCTCCTTACAGGACCTGTCTCTAAATACAGTCACATTGGGAGTTTGGGCTTCAATATATGAATTGGGGGGCACACAATTCCGTTCAGAACAGGGAAGACACAAAAAAAACAAAAACTGAAACAGAAGTCCACAGTTTGGCCCAACTGGGTTTTTAAAATTCACTGAAAGAATTTATATAATACATAGATAAAAGGACAGAAATTGGCTTTTGTGCCTCTATTAACACTGGTTCTGAATTAACAACTGCTGAAATATACCAATCGACAAAACTTTATGCCCTTAATTAATATTGGGGATCCCCCTAAATTTAAACGAGAGTACTCCTATAATATTAGGGGATTTACTGAACATAATATAAAGGACAAGTAGGCAAGCCTCACCCTAACCACAGGAATTTTGTCTTGTCTTAATTCCCCATGGTCATCACACCTGTTGTTCTAAAATAATCCCAGAGTGGTCATGGACTCTCTGACCCAATGAGTAATGAATTAATTTTAAGTCTTTGACAGTAACAAATTGCCTTTTAAAATAGACCCCACAGACCTACTGCTTCCCCATTAAAACATTTAATATAGTCAAATGTAAATTAAAACAGGGCCTTTAATGATTGAAACCTCTTATACAAGACCTGTTTAGAAAAGGGGTGATTATCCCCACTGCCTGTCCATTTAACAGACCAATTTGACCAGCTTTTATACTTGGGAGGAATGAATGGTGCCTCCTGGTGATTACTTCAACCTCAATGCTGTGGACCTCACCAAGGACCCATACCCAGTATAACTGAAATTACTGACTTCATCTAACCAGCAACTGGTAGCTATTATATATTTGGTGAATATGTTTTGTTCAGTGCCTATTTCAACACTCTTAACTGCAGTTTGCCTCCTAAAGGACCCAATACAGTTTTACCCAGCTAGCACAAGGTACCTGTAACATACTATCTTGGAGAACAAGATAGAAACTCCACCTTACTTTTCCCAGGAATGCAGGTATGACATCACACTGATGACTTCCTCTGCTGAGGAGATTCCTTTGATACACTTACACAGGACATACAAATGCAAAGGAGCTCAGGGGGTGACCCACTGCCTCACACATAGAGCAAGGCCTTCATTGATTTCTGAAAATAATTGGATAAACTGAAGGCTGCTCCATCCATGACACTGTTTAAAAACAGCTATTGAGCCTCTCAGCACCGACAACTTCTTTTAGGTTCTTCTGAGTTCTGGAGGAAACATACTTCTCATTACAAATTGTACTAAGCTCATATATGTTGGTACTTGAGAAACGAATCACCTCAAATGGGGCCCTTTCTAACCAAAGGTTCTAGAATCTGTCCAAATTGCAAAACAATTGACATTCCTGTGTGTCTCCCGCAGACTACGTAATTGTAGATTTAGTAGTCTTCTATCAGTGTGAGAGTTGTGTACAAGTAATAAAACCATAAATATTTGGATTTTGCCAAAATTAAAGGTATTTTGGCATTGGTATTTTAAAGAAACTATTTTTAAAAACAAAAAGGAAGACCACAAATTAGTAGCAAATATTCATAACACATATCAGAAGAAAGATTTGTATCCTAACCTGTCTATTCATTCTCCTACTAATGGATATTTTGGTTGCTGCTGGCTTTTGGTTGTTATGCATTATGAATGAATACAGCTGCTGTGGACATTGTGCACAACTCTTAGTGGTCGGGTTTTAATCACTCACATATAAATACAGAGGAGTAGAACTGCTAAGGTCATAAGGAAGGTGTACATCTAACTTCATAAGAAACTACATGAGTATTTTTTCTATAGAGATGGTATTTTATACTCTAATCAGCAATGCATGAGTGTTCTTGTTCCACATCCTTACTAACACTTGATGTGGTCAATTGTTTTAATTTTGACCATTCTGGTAGGACTGAAATGTATCTTACTGTGGTAATAATTTGCATTTTCCAGATGACAAATGATCTTGAGTATCTTTATATGTGCTTATTAGCCAGGTAAATAATGCTTTCTTGAAGTATGTTTTCATGTCTTTTGACTATTTGTTAATTGGGTTGTCTTATTAGTTTTAAGAGTTTTTTATATTTTGTAGATACCAGACCTTTATCAGATATAAGTATTACCAATATTTTCTTCTGGTGTACAATCTGTATTTTCTTTTTTAATAGCTTTTTAGCTTTTTAGAGACAGAGCTTTGCTCTGTTGAGCAGTGGCACAGTATTGCTCGCTGCAGCCTCGAAATCCTGGGCTCAAGTGATCCTCCCACCTCGGCCTTCCAGTTTTGGGATTACAGACATGAGCCACCACTCCTGGCCCCTATATTTTCATTTAAAATTCTTTATCTTTTATTTTGAAATAGCTTTAGGTTTATAGAAAGCTGTAAAAAATAGTACAGAGTTCCCATATACTCTTTATTCAGCAAACTATGGTGTTAATTATACAGCCATTGTGTTAACAAGCCAGCCTCAGGGTGTTCCTCAGTGATTCCCACCTCCTAATATTAATGCCCTTGTGTAGTATCCCCTTCCACAGTGTCTACGGCTGACCTGTAAAAACAATAGGATACTTACTGTGGAAGTGACAGTGTGTTTTCTAAGGATAGGTGGTAAAAGACATATATAGGTTCTGCCTTGCTCTTTCTTGGGTTACTTGTCTCTGGGAGAAGCCAACTGCCAAAAAGTAAGACCATTCAAGCAGCCCAATGAATAGGCAGTAACAGGAAGAGACAGTGACTCCCTCAGGGTCAAAGGGCAAACATTCTTATTGTCCAGTATAGTGAAGATATTGGCTCCTCAGAGGAATGAGTAGCTATGCTTATTGCCTGCTGTAAAAAATTTGAGTTCCCTAAATTCAGGATTCCTTGTTTGTAATACACCCCGCTTGCTGTTTAGGAGTCAGTTGGCCCTCTTTACTCTGAGGGAACTGAGCTCAGAGAACAAGCAAAAAAAATGCTGCTACTCTAGCTACTGCTACTGCTGTGAGCAACAAATTGCCCTCTGTCTCTGACCCAGGAGTCTCATGTCTTCTACCAGCATTCATGAAACTATACCTTATTTGCTCACAAGTAAGGTGAAATCTCCAACCCTTCACAGTTTCTAACAGTTTTGGTGTTAAGAATGGCATTCTCAGAGAGACTCTTCCTCTTTCTGAATGAGGGCCTTGTAGAAATTTGCAGAAGTTCCTGGGCACTTACGGTGAATATGTTAATTAAATTATATTGTCAGTAAGAGTTGTGCACAATTTTGAAGCATTTTCATCATTCTGAAAAGATACTTCTTATCCTTTAGCAGTCACCCTTCATTTGTCCTAACTACTTCAGCCCTAGACAACCACTAATTTACTTTCTGTCTCTACAGATTTCCCTCTTCTGGGCATTTCATATAAATGGAATCATGTAATACGTAGTCTTTTACTTAGCATAAAGTTTTCAAGGTCCATGTAGTAGGACATGTCAGTACTTCATTTCTTCTTACTGCTAAAAATATTCTATTGCATGGGGGGAGAGACTACATTTTGTCTGTGTTGCCCATTTGATGGACATTTGGGTTGTTTCAACTTTTTGATTATTATAAATAATGCTGCTGTAAACATTCATGTGCAGGTTTCTGTGTGAAGGTATCTTTGATTTCTCTTGGGTATACACCTGGGAAAACTCTCAAACTGTTTTTCGTTTACTTTCACACAAGCAAAAAAACAATTAATACAAAAGAAGGCTTCTGTGACCCTATGATATGTGGGGATTTCTCTCACCAGCAAGCAAGCAATCAATTCTACAGGAGATATCAACTGGGTGTCCACCAATTCAATTCTGACCCTATCTATCTGGAGACAGTGTCAGATCCCATAGGACTCTGGATCCAGTCCCCAAGACTCCCTACCAGACCCCCAACCCAGTGGAACTCTGGGCCTCCAGAACTTTTGACCAACTGGTTTCCAGTTGGGGTTCCATGACCTCCTCTTTGGGTTTAAATAATTTGCTGGAGTGGCTCACACAACTCAGGGAAATATGTTTTAGCGGTTTATTTTAAAAGATATTACAAAAGATACAGGTGAAAAGATATTTAAGGTAAGGGATGGGTGAAGGGAGGCAGAGCTTCCATATCCTTTCTGGGCACACCACCCTCCAGGAACCTCCACATGTTCAGCTATCCTGAAGACCTCTGAACCCTATCCTTGTGAGTTTTTATGGAGGCCTCATTATGTAGACAAGATTGACAACCATGTAAAAAATGTGACTGGACAAAAAGGTCTCATACTAATAAGAGTAGGGAAACCCAGCCAGGCTTGTCTGTTCAGAATCTTCTTGGTCTCTCTGTGCAGCATTCCTTCCTCTAGAGTATGGGGCAGGACCTTCTCTGGAATGAGAATCTTATGACTCACAATCAGACAGTTCTGGTTTGGGCAGGTGAAAGGAGGGCAGGAGGTCAGAGAGAGAGATTTTGTTTCCTGAAGGCTGCTCTTGCCCTCAATATTGTAACAAAAGACTCTAACAAGATCTATACGAGTTATGAGCCAGGAATTGTAGAAAAAGTGCAATATATATATAGGTATATAGTTTTATTAAAATTACCGAATTATATTATGATGGCTTCTTTACATAACTGTTTTCCTCTATAGATTATAATCTCCTAAAGTTTTGGGACTATGCCTCTCACTTATATATTCTTAATGCCAGGAAACACATTATAAAGTCAATGAATAACTGCTGAATGAGTATTTTGAGGACAAATAGAAGAACCCATAAGCAAATCGATGGGAAGCCTACCAGGCCACTCTGGAGGTAGGAAAATAAATTCTATATATATTAACAGACATGTATAACTCACACATAAGTGAGAAATGACAATAATTACATATTTCTCCTAGGATTCATGACACTCAGAATGAAGACTTCTTGCTTTACAGTTAGAAGTCTACCAAATAGATACTTTTACATCTCAAGGGACATTTTAGTTTATAGATTTATAGCTCTTAAAATTAAATGCGACCTCAAGGGAACAAATATTCTGTCTTTAGGCAGAATATTTTTTTTTTAATTTTTTTTAATTTTTACATTTTTTTTTTTTTTAAAGACGGGGTTTCACCATGTTGGTCAGGCTGGTCTTTAACACTCGACCTCAGGTGATCCACCCACCTTGGCCTCCAAAGTGCTTGGATTACAGGCATGAGCCACCATGCCCAGCCAGGCAGAATATTTTCTGTATTACCCTATTCAGGGAAAAAAAACCTGAGACTAAACTGGTACACTGGAATCTACCATTTTGAAAGCATGAAGGGTAACATTTTTAGTTATGTTTAGTTTTGTTATATTCTTTTACACTCATTTCAATAATTGGAGACAATCGGCTGGGCAGAGTGGCTCAAACCTGTAATCCCAGAACTTTGGGAGGCGGAGGCAGGTGAATCACTTGAGGTCAGGAGTCCAAGACCAGCCTGGCCAATATGGTGAAACCCCATCTCTACTAAAAATACAAAAATTAGCTGGGTATGGTGGTGCATGCCTGTAATCCCAGGTACACAATAGGCTGAGGCAGGAGAATCGCTTGAATCCAGGAGGTGGAGGTTGCAGTGAGCTGAGACGGTGCCACTGCACTCCAGCCTGGGTGAAAGAGCGAGACGCTGACTCAAAAAAAAAAGAAAAATAGGCCGGGCGTGGTGGCTCATACCTGTAATCTCAGCACTTTGGGAGGCTGAGGTGGGCAGATCACGAGGTCAAGAGATCAAGACCATCCTGGACAACATGTTGAAACCCCATCTCTACTAAAAATACAAAAATCGGCTGGATATGGTGGCACATGCCTGTAGTCCCAGCTACTCAGGAGGCTGAGGAAGAAGAATCACTTGAACCAAGGAGGCGGAGGTTGCGGTGAGCAGAGATCCCACCACTGCACTCCAGCCTGTCAGCAGAGTGAGACTCCCTCTCAAAAAAAAAACCTAATAAAATAAATTAAATAAATAAATGGAGACCATCTTGAGAAAATTTTTTTTTTTTTTTTAGATGGAGTTTCACTGTTGTTACCCAGACTGGAGTGCAATGGCACGATCTTGGCTCACCGCAACCTCCGCCTTCTGAGTTCAAGCAATTCTCCTGCCTCAGCCTCTTGTGTCTCCTGAGTAGCTGGGACTACAGGTGCGTACCACCATGCCCAGCTAGTTTTTTGTATTTTTAATAGAGACAGGGTTTCACCATGTTGACCAGGATGGTCTCGATCTCTTGACCTTGTGATCCACCCGCCTCGGCCTCCCACAGTGCTGGGATTATAGGCGTGAGCCACTGCGCCTGGCCAGAAAACTTTCTTAAGTTCATGAGGTAATCAATGTCTGAGCCAGAGTAAGACTTTAACAATTTTAGCCCAATAATCCACTCAGCTTTTTGGGTTAGAAATACAAGTGTTAAACTGTGACTGAAAATGGGCACATATATATTGTATCACAGTTATGTATAAGTAGTTAGGTATAAAAAATATATCAAGCCAAATTGTTGAAGTGGGATACCTCTGAATAGTTTCATAAAATTAAGGTAGGATTACAATTTTAGGTGTCAGAACAGTCATGACAAGGCTTGAAATTCTAAAGATCAGGATAAATGATTTTTATTCTGGAAAATAATTTTCTTTCCAGTTTTGTTATATTATCTAGTATCAAAGTCCTAGATATAAACCAGGTACACAGAAAATATTAATACATGTTAAATTGAAAAAACTACCATGGTCGGTAGTTTCAAATATTAGCCACTAACAAGAGAAGGTCTGTGTAATTTACAGAAAAGAGATAAGAATGCAGGTAGGGAAGACATAATAAAGAGGAATAATTTGTAAATCATGACAATTTAAAAAAATAGGTGTTATTTAGGTCTTTATTAATCTCTGCCAGTTCAAAGAAATTTGAACTGAAATCCGCAAAATCACAAGCAAAATCTATTAGAGGAGCTTTTTAGGAGAAAACTAAAACTTAGATGAATTGTAAGCTTAATAGCTGCTTTTTGGTAAAGGCAAAAAATGTTCCTGTGTTAACCAAATTTCCTTATGACCAGTGGAACACATCTGTAAGGTGGTTCCTAGGATGGGATGGGGAAAGTGATGTCAAAAGCGTAGAAACCAATCTCCTACCGGGTTCAAATCACAGCATGACACTGTTGACTATGCTCATATATGTGCACTCACCTATTTAACTACATTTTTACATAGAGCGGGTTTTATTTCCTAACTTAACATTTGGTCTGATTTTTCTACCACTGATGTATATTTTCCTTACTCTCAATAAAAAGTTATTGTCATATTTTCTTCTTCTGTATTCCCTTCTATGTCTTAAAATTTCTGGCTTCTGATATGCTTTTTATTTACATATAAACCCAGGGTGTCTAATCTTTTGGCTTCCCTGGGGCACACTGGAAGAAGAGTTGTCTTGGGCCACACATAAAGTACACTAACGGTAACAATAGCTGATGAGCTTAAAAAAAAAAATGTAAAAAAAAAAAAAATCTCATAATGTTTGAAGAAAGTTTACAAATTCATGTTGCGCCACATTCAAAGCTGTCTTGGGTCGCATGCAGCTGGTGGGCACCATGGTTTGGACAAGCTTAAAATAAACCATAGCAGTCTATAGTTCTTTTAGTTTGAATAATAATAAAAAAATTAAGTGCATTGTTACTCTTTCATGTGTTTCAATACTTGAGAATAAAAGCTGGATACAATAAACGTATCAACAGGTAAAAACATATGGACAAATTCCTGAGTATCATAGCATACACTGTGCCTGATACACAGCAGGCTTACAATAATTGATTGAATAACTGGTTGATTAGCAGAATAAATGACAGAGAGAAACAGGAAGATTCTGGGCATTATGAGAGAGGCAGGAATTTACCTCTAAAAAGTTCTTCTGGCACATAACCATACAGACTAAATTCACTTGCTTTTCTGAAGGAATACCAAACCTTCCATTCAAAAACAGTAGCCGTATTAAGAGAAGCTGTCATATCCCACACCAAAACTAGGCTAGGCAAGAAGAGAACTGTATTTGAGAGAGGGATTTCAGACAGACTTTGTTCTCAATGCTAAATGCAGCTGAAGTGTCAGAGTTCTATAAATATTATTTACAGATATACAAACGTGATAAACAACAGAGTACTAGTGTCTCAAAACAGGAAAAGTTCAGCAACACAGGATGGTGGAAATACAGCTGAGTACACGAAGCAAGGTATAAGTTGAAGACATGTATTAAGGCCCTAGAAAATAATAGTATTTAACAAATGTCACCCTGGGTTACTGAACTTCTAGTCCTCTGGAGGGACATGAAAGGTGATGGAAGTCTTACCTTTCTGTTTCCTACCAGCCTGGGTCAGCCACATTGCTCCCATCCAGCTCTCAATTCCCACCCAGTTCACAGGAGTGTCACAAACCTGCCCTTATTCTTTTATTTTTTAATCGCGGTAAATTATATATAACATAAAATTTGCCGTTTTAACTATTTCCCCCACCCCCCCTTTTTTTTTGGAGTCTCCCACTGTCACCCAGGCTGTAGTGCAGTGGTGCGATCTCGGCTCACTGCAATCTCTGCCTCCTGGGTTCAAGAAGTTCTCCTGCCTCAGCCTCCCGAGTAGCTGGGACTATAGGCGTGCACCACCAGGCCCAGCTAATTTTTTTTTTTCTATTTTTAGTAGAGATGGGGTTTCACCATGTTGGCCAGGATGGTCTCCATCTCCTGATCTCATTATCTGCCTGCCTCGGCCTCCCAAAGTGCTGGGATTATAGGTATGAGCCATCACACCCAGCCAAGCATTTTACTTTTTAAAAATTTATTATTATTGTTGTTATTTTTGAGATGAAGTTTCACTCTTGTTGCCCAGGATGGAGTGCAGAGGCATGATCTCAGCTCACTGCAACCTCTGCCTTGCGGGTTCAAGTGATTTTCCTGCCTCAGGCCTCCCCAGTAGCTGGGATTACAGGTGCCTGCCACCATGCTTCGCTTTTTGTATTTTTAGTAGAGACGGGGTTTCATCATGTTGGCCAGGTTGGTCTTGAACTCCTGACCCCAGGTGATCCACCTGCCTTGGCCTCCCAAAGTGCAGGGATTACAGGTGTCAGCCACTGCACCTGGTCAACTATTTTAAAGTATATAATTTTAAGTGCACCATTCAGTGGCATTAAGTACATTCATATTGCTGTACAAACCATCACCACTTTCCATCTCTAGAACCTTTTCATCATCCCAAACTGAAGCTCTATACTCATTAAACAATAACCCCCATCTCTCCCTGTCTCTAGTCTCTAGAAAACACATATTTGCATCGTGTGTCTATGGATTTACTTATTCTGGAAATGTCATAAACATGGAATTATATAATATGTGATACTTTGCTTCTGATTTCTTTCACTTAGCATAATGTTTCAGTGTTCAATCCCAGTGTAGCATGTACCAGTCTGTTTTATGACTGAATAATGTTCCGTTGTACATATGTAACATAGTTAGTCAATCTAGTGATGAACATCTGGGCTCTTTCCACTTCTTGGCTATTGTGAATGAATGATGCTGCTCTGAACATGACTGCATGTGTTATTTGTTTAGCATTCATTTCCAATTCCTTTGTATGTATACCTATGAGCAGAATTGCTGGGTCACATGGTAACTCTACCATGTTTCTTTTTAAGGAACCACCAACTTATTTTAAAAAGCAGCTGAGATATTTTACATTCTCACTAGCAACGTACAAGGATTCAATTTTCTCCATGCCTTCACATTTCTTATTTTCTGTTGCTATTGTTATAGCAATTCTAGTGGGTTTGCAGTGCTATCTTCTGTGGTTTTGATTTTCATTTCCTCCATGAATGTCTTTTCATGTGCTTACTTACAGTAAATCTTTTTTGAAGAAATGTCTACTAAAATCCTTTGCTCATCTTTCAACTAAGTTTTGTTGTTGTTATTGAGTTGGACTACTTCACATATTGTGGATATTAATCCCTTATCAGATAGATGATAGAAAATATATCGACCAGGTGCAATGGCTCACACCTGCAATCCCAAAGCTGTGGGAGGCTGAGGTGGGCAGGTCACTGGAGGTCAGGAATTCAAGATGAGCGTGGCCATATGGCAAAACCCCATCTCTCCTAAAAATACAAAAATTACCTGGGCGTGGTGGTGGGTTCCTGTAGTCTCAGCTTCTCAGGAGGCTGAGGTGGGAGACTGGCTTGAACTTGGGAGGCTGAGGTTGCAGTGAGCTGAGATCATGCCACTGCACTCCAGCCTGGGTGACAACAGTGAGATTGTCTCAAAAAAAAAAAGAAAAGAAAAGATATCATATATGCAAATACTTTCTCCCATTCTGTGGGTTTCATTTTTACTCTCTCTCCTTGTTTTATTTTAGAGACAGGGGTCTCACTATGTTGCCCAGGCTGGTTTTGAACTTCTGGGCTCAAGCACTCCCCAGCCTCAGCCTCCCGAAGTGTTAGGATTATAGGTGTGAGACACTGTGGCTGTCCATTTTTACTCTCTTCATGGTATCCTTTGATATACAAAAATTTTTAATTTTGATGAAGTCTAAGTTATCTATTTGTTTTTCTTTTGTTGCCCAAGCTTTTGCTGTCCAACCCAAGTATTTGCAGTATCCAAGAAAACTTGCCAACTGCAATGTCAAGAAGCTTTCCTTCTACGTTTTCTTCCAGTAATTTTATAATTTTAGCTCTTATATTAATATCTTTGACCCATTTTTGTAAACTTTTCTAGATAGTTTATGGTAATAGTCCAACTACACTCTTTTGTAAGAGGATATTCAGTTTCCCCACCACCATTTGTGGAAAAGACCGTCTCTTCCACACTGAATGATCTTGGCAGCCTTGTTGAACGTATTTGACCACATATGCAAGGATTTATAACTAGGCTCTCTATTTTATTTCACTGGTCCATACATCCATCCATGTGCCAGTACTGTAGCTTTGTAGTAAGGTGCAAAATCAGGAAGTATGAGTTCTCCAACTCTGTTCTTGTTCAAGTTTTTTTTTTTTCTTGTGGATCCCTTGAGATCAATTTTGATGGGGTCTGCAGTGAATATGATTGCCCTGGGTAGTACTGTCATTTTAATAACATTAAGTCTTCCAATCCATGAATATAAGATACTTTTCCATTTATTTAAGTCTAGATTTTATAACTGCTGACGTTTTGCCATATCTGTTTTACCTCTGCAACATTCCACTTTTTCATTTCCTATTTTAATCAACAGTAATCTTCTGGTTCTCCTTACTTTGGGAATATTCCTTTTCTGGTTCTGATTCCTCAGTTTCTCTCCTAGATGTTTTTCTTCTATGTGCTTCCCTGATTTTAGCTATCCAATGTATGTCAAGGTCCCCAGCAGTTACATCTCTAGCTCTGATTTCTTTCTTTTTTTTTGAGACAGAGTTTTGCTCTGTTGCCCAGGCTGGAGTGCAGTGGCATTATCGCACTCACTGCAACCTCTGCCTCCCAGGTTCAAGTGATTCTCCTGCCTCAGCCTTCTGAGTAGCTGGGACTACAGGCATGCGCCACCACGCCCAGCTAATTTTTGTATTTTTTAGTAGAGATGGGGTTTCACCATGTTGGTCAGGATGGTCTTAATCTCTTGACCTTGTGATCCACCTGCCTTGGTCTCCCAAACTGCTGGGATTGCAGGTGTGAGCCACCACACCTGGCCTCTAGTTCTGATTCCTTAAATTCTACATTAACAATTATCTGCTGAATATTTCCTGATGTATGTCCTACTTGTATCATAAACTTGGCACATCCCAAACTGATTACATATCATTCTGTCTGCCAAACTATCACCTCCTAACTGTGCCCCATATTTTTGTTAAGTGTACCTCTCTCCTCCAATCAGCAAGTAGGCATTTTTACTTCTTCCTCCCCCTTATTGCATTATCCAGTCAATTGACTTCTTGAATCCTGAACATTCAAGATTTGTCCAGTCTCTCTTCTGGTCTCTATTTCTATTAGCCACTAAATTCAGGAATTTATCTCTTACTAAGATGATTGCAAAAATCTTCTAATTGTACTTCTCTTCCCTTTGATTTTGTATACTTTTGCAGTGAAATGTTTCTAATACATAGACAATATCACTTCACTGCCTAAATGATTTTAATAGTTCAACTTCTCCTTCAAGATCTATGATTTGGCTGCAACCTACTTTTACAAACATGTTTTCTCTTTATCATTCCAAGTATCCTTTGACCCAGCTGAACTAAATTACTCACTGGCCCTGTTAATATGCTTTGAGCAGTTCTGTCTCAAGAGTGATTTATTCCTCAGTGTCTGGAATGTTTTCCCCACCCCACTTCTAAGTCTTTCATAAAAATCTTTTTTTTTTTTCCTAGGTGGAAGTAATCTTGCCATCTGCTAAACTGTAATAGTACTTTAAACCTCTCACAAAGTGCACCTCAAAACATGCTTATTTAGCTCTTTGTCTAACCTTTTTAACTAGATGATATAGTGTCAGTGGTTAAGAGCATGAGTTCTGAAGCCAGTGAAGTGGGTGTGAATCATGGCTATGTCATTTATTAGCTAAGTAGTTTGGGAAAAGTTGCCTTGCCTCTCAGTTTTCTCCTGTGTAAAATGAGAAAAATAACAACATCTACCAAATGGAGTTGCTGTGAGAATCAAATGAATTAATACATATGAAGTGCACAGAACAGTACCAGGCACATAGTAGTCACTTAATAAATGTTAGCTAACATTCAGGACAAAATTGAATATGTCTTATATATCACTGTACCACCTACTCACAATGTTTTCCACCAGCAGTTAGATGATAACTTTATTTAAAAAATTATAACCAACAAAATATTAGATAATGTAAAGTATTATACAACCAAATATAAGATTAAGTGGCACAGAAATGTGCTACTAGAAATCAGATAGGGGAAAGATCATTGTAGGATAAGTTTGTAAGAAAATATTTTATGAAAGAGGGGCTCCCCAATGAAATAGTGTTTAAAAGACCTAATGTGAGAGAAGCAAATAGTATGAACTGATAGGATAATATTCAAAGTATTAGGAGGCATGAGATAAGAGACTGGACTAGGATGGTAACACTGAGGGATTTCAAAGAAAGAGATGAAAACAGAGAGATAACACCAGGATAAATTGGACTTGTAAAACAGTAAGAAGTTTAAAAAAAAGGATATATAATTCTGAGTTTATGGTATTGTCAAAATAAGGTACAAGTACAGATATAAGAAAGTTGGGAGAATTAAGTTCAGTTTTATCTATGTTGAATTTCAGGTACATTGAATGCCATCTTATGGCAAGGTCCTGTAGACAGCTATAAAGATAAGGTGACAGGTTTTAAAGATGTAAATTGAGAAGTCCTCAGGATAGAATGAAATGAAATGAGGCACAAATGAACTGGCAGGAGTAAATATGGAGGATGAATAGAGGATGAAGGAGTACAGTTTGTGGGAAAATTCCACCTCTGCCTTCCCAAAATTACGGATTGTCTCTAAGATTAATAGTCCAATTATCAAAAACTGTCAATGAATGTTCTGATGAAGAATATATATAATCTCAAAAATTGGGAACAACGAGTAATATCTACCTGTTTCTCTAGTGATAATATAACTTTCATGAGAGCAGGGGTCATTATGTTCTCAAATGTATCCCCTGTACTTAATTCAGTACCTTACACATAGTAGTCAATATCTTTCTTATCAGTTGAATGAATAAATAAAAAGCAGCGAAAAGTATGCTTGTGGATGAAGAG